GTACACCTGCTCCGCGCCTTTTGTGAAGGGGCCGGTTTTCCCCGCCCCTGCCCCGCGATGTGGGGCAATCCCGCGGGGGTGGAGGCGTCTGCTGGCGGCGACACGGGAAGGGATGGCTGCTTGGCCTCTTGCCGCTCCCCGGCGCTTGTGGGGACAGGACGCCTGCAAAGACGCCCGCTCGCCCCCGGGCTGGGCTTTGCAGGGGAAGCTGTACACCCTCATCTTAATCGCACGCTTCTGCCAGTTGCGGCCAGGGAGAAGGCAGCGCTTTCTGCGTGGCTTGTCCGAGCGCCATGTCTGTATCAGCCCTGTAAACTGTACCAGGTATTCACACCTTTTTATGGGCAGCTGGTGCTCTGTGGCCTTCAGAGAGACATATGACGAGACACATGATATATGACCCTGTGACTAGGGGCACAGTGGGGAAAAGATCTGAGCTGCTTTTACTGCATTGTTATGAATGTTTGGATGTAAAGCTGGTTGGTTTTTGGGTTTGGTTTGTTGTTTTTTTTTCCTTTCTATGTTTTTCTGATAGCTTTATTTGGAAACAGATCAAATAACTGCTAGCGCTGTGTAATGCGGAATGTGTGTATCAGCTTATATTAGTGTAGCTGTTCTTTGCCAGCAGATTGCTGTCAGGTGTCTTCCAGATACTCAGACTTTTGAGTTGAAGTGCAAGCACGGAACTGCTTCGTGGTTTTCTGCATTTTCGGTTTTCAGTTTACAGAATAACTGCAAGAAAGCTTTAGATGGTTCTCTGGTTTTCTGAGAGGAATAAAAGCTTTTGGCAGACTACTTATTTTGCCTGAATATTTGGAGAAAACATATTCATAGCTATCAATGTTGTTGGTTTTCAGTTGGTTGCTACATTGCCTGAGGAAATTCGTCCTGGGCCTGATTTCCATGGACTTCCATGGGAGCCTGTTATTATCACTGCCTTAGTGGGAATTGCCACACTTGCTGTAATTTTCTGGAGAACCTGCCTTTCAGTGAGTATACTTCATGCTTACAAGCCTGCTGATATTTCACTTACCGAGTGGTCTTTTGTATGGTTAAACTGTTTCAGCATTACCAGGGTCAAAGCAGTGTGTAGTCTTTTGCATTTTTACTTTTTCAATTTGGAGCATTAACATGACCTAAAAGCTTGGCTTAATAGCTAATGTAAGTTGTCATTTTCTTGATGCTAAGAAGCTTTTCCTCTGAGGTATTAACTTAAGATCTTTATGTAGTAAGGGGCAGTTTCGAAATAAGGGAGGATAATGTAAATCAAGACCATCAAGGGAAGCGTCAGCATATCTTTGAAATGAGAAGCCTTCCATGTGCTTGAGCCTGTTGCTTACTATCTCCAAAACAAGCAGTTAATCCTTTCCCCTTCATATTGTCCAGCTGCTTGTACGTGCCTCATTAAGGACCCAGTACCAATTAATTCTCGCTGGAGAGCCTCTTCTCCACTCTGCTCCTTACTCTGCATTTGCCCCCCTGTTACCTACACAGATAATTTTCTGTGGAAAAAAAATACCGTCACCAGTTCTCAAGTATACCAGTGCATCTCCTTGGGAATTGATAGATGAAAATCAAATAGGACATTTTATTTTACAGCTGTCCAGTTCAGTGATGATATACTCTGGAAGTCTGTGGAATACTTCATCTTTACTTGACCAAAATAAATTAAAACTAAATATTATCTGTTAACAACATTGGTATTTTTTTACTTGTTTGGTTTGGTATTGAATACACTAGGTCAGTATCAGATGCAGAATAGTGTTAACAGCATAAAAAGATAACTTCCTGAAATTCTTCTTTAAGGGTGTTAATTTCAAAATGAACAACTCTCATGTAAACATACATTGCTTTTAAAAGGATCAGAACTGGGATGTAAGTGTTCTTTGTGCTTGCAAAGTAGCAAAATATCTAAGTATGCAAAATAGCTTCGTTTTCTTTGTTGCAAATTGGATGTGGGCAGTTACTGCTATCCTTTTAGGGACTGAGCAAACAGATGTTTACTAAGGCTTTAGGACAGAGCATTAACCGAGAAGCTTTTATTAGAAAACAGCTTAAGCTTGTTTGTAGTGTTATTCAACCCTCTTCTTGGCAGTGGTAGATGTGTTTTCTGTATGCTTCTTTAATCTGTGTAGAAGTGCTAACTTTTTTTCTATAGGGAAAAATAAAAAAGTTTTTCACTTACCACTTCTTGTGGCTAATGTATATTTTTTTTTCTTCTGTAGGTAAAGAGTAGAATATATCAAGGTAAGTTTCTCTGTTTTGAAGATTGTTTCAGAGGACCAAGTATTCATCTTTGCTCCTTTTCAAGGATAATGCTAAGGCTAAGGTTACAGTGTAAGCTAGGCCAGTAGATATTTAGTTGAATCTGAGGATGTCAGTTTTGCTTTTGATAATGCTTTGATTAAGAGAAACAATGCAGCTCACACCTGCAAATTAAAGGGAAAGGAAGAGCTCCACCTTGTTCAACATAGACGCAATCCATTGATTTACTGGTGTGATAGAACTATGATGGGTCAGAGTTTATTTTGGTTTTCTGTCTAGCAGTGGATCAGCTTTTGCTTGTTGCTTCTCATAAAAAGCAGTATCTAATTCCTCTTGGCTTTTTGGATTGTGTGTAATTGGAAACTGACTGCTGTGCAGTTGCAAAGAGACCTTCTAAATGTAGACCTAAATATGCAGATATTCCTGTGGCTAGCACATTACTTTTTACAAGGGCGTTTCTTCAGCTTCAAGCATATAAAATTGAAGTGTACTGAATGTAAAAGAAGTAGAATTCAGAGTAGGGTGATTGCTGAAATTCATAGTTGAATACAAAATGAAAATATTGTCCCATGAACTCTCTGCCTCTTTCTTCCTCACAAACTGTACTACTTATCAGTCATTCCTCTCTAGTTTCATTGTAGTTATACTGCAGTTTTCTTCTATACAATTAAAGCAGAGAAAAAAATCCATCTTGGATCTGTAAGGCGATGTCTGTACTGCAAAACAATTATTATTATTGGAGGGGGAGAAAAGCATTGGTATTGGTGGTATAGAAATTACTTAGCAGTCTGCCCTAAAAAAATTGAGGAACATAGGTCTAATCTTACTTTTTTTCCAATATTAAACTGTGTAGAAACCACTGAATCTAAGAACAAATAGTTATTCTTCAAGCATAATAGATGTCACGTTATTATTAAAATCTGTATTCTAAATGGAGGAATATTAACAGTGACAAAAATGCTTTAAAAGATAGATTACATCTGGAGTCCCAAAGATTTTTATCTATTATCCACTATTCATGATAGTAGTAAAATTGGGAGACCAAGCTAATGCAGGGATTCCTGCCCCCCTAAAACTGCTGAGAACTGTCTTGTACCTCAGCAGATGCTTGTTGGCTCTCCTCTTCCCAGAGCAGGAGAAGCTGGGGATCCTCTGGCCCAGAAGCCCTCCCGTGGGAGGAGAGGGAGGAGCAGCAGTTGCCATTGCACCCTGTGGGATGCAGTTGGAACAACCAGTGCTTCCTGTTTGTGCTGTGATCCAGATGGGACTTTGGGAGTTCAAATACGGAGGTGGTTTAGGACTTGAAAAAGAATGACAGTTGGATGATCTTCAAATTAATTTGCAGTAAAATAATTTAAGTATGGTAATGATTTTCATTTATCCTGAGGGTTGATTGAGACCTGTTTAGGTTGAGAAACAAATGCATACCTAAAGAACTGCTCCTTGGTCACAGCCCTTTTGAGGCCTGTTAGATGGTGATGCAGTTCCTTGAGGCTTACTGATGCTGTCTGCTAGCTGACAGTCTCTTTTCTGTTCCCACTAGGTCTTTCAGAGCTTTTATCCTATTAAGTTTGCTGACCAAACATTCAGTTCTAATATAGAAGAAAGAGGTGATTGTTAGGGAAGGTGTTGCATCTCTTTGAGTGTCACAAAGGCAGCCTGACTCCACTGTGTGTTGTGGGACCAGCATTTGTGAAGTGGATGCACGAGCTAGATGCTTTGTGTCAATGTTCAATGCTTTACTGTCTTGTTTTTAGTCCTAACTTTAAATGAAAGCTGGAGATGCTTAGACTCCTGCAGAAAGGTCTGGCTGCCAGGGAATTGGCATTGTCCTGATTCATGCTCTAGTCCTTACTTGAACATGTTCTCTAAGGTGGTAGTAATGATAGCTCTGATTTTCTCCCCTCGTCCGCCCCAGAATATGAAGTACAGTTACTGTAAGCTTTCTTTTTCTTCCTAGTGACTGAAAAGCAACTTGCTGAAAAGATTAAAAACCTTCTGCAAGAAAAAACAGAAATCTTAGAAAAGATATCACAATATGATCAAAAGGTATTGTTCTAGGTTCTCATCCTTTGCTTCCTAATTTTCTGTTAGTCATTTAATGACACAGTCAGTGCAACAGCTAATATATTTGTATTTTCCATTCTTACTGAATATTATGTTGACAACTTTCTCTGTTTTGTTTGGTTGTTTCTGTGCTTAGATAAAGGAAGCAAAGGAATCTGTGAAAGTGGCCCAAGAACAAAAAGACATTCTCTCTGATGAAACTACAGGGCTTAAGGTAAGAAACAGTTAACGGTCTCTGTACTGAAAGCAAAAAACATGAATAAAATAACTTGATTTAGTTGGTCTTGTACTTTTTTTTTTTTTAGGACACTGTCAAAGAACTGGAAGAAGCAAATCGTCAGCTAGATGACAAAGTGAAAAGCCTGCACTCAATGCTTGAAACAGAGAGAAAAAAGAATGAGAAGAAACAGAACACAGTAAGAGCAATCACACTTAAGTCTTTGTGTCCTAAAAGCTGGGGTAAACAAAACCTGATGAGTAAACAGAGGTAGCGCAAACAAGATGAACTGCCTTTAAAAAGAGAACAGAAATGACATTTCACCTTCATCCAAAGGTCAAGGGGGAGAATCTGTTGTGGGTTTTGTGTTTTGGGGGTTTTTTTTGTGTGTGTGGTGGGGTTTTTTTGTTGTCATTGTAAGATCTCAATGAACTTGTGTGGTTGTGTGCTTTCACACACAAACAGATGTATTCAAGTGATGAGCTAGTCTAATACTTCCTAGCCAGAGCCAGGAAGTTCCTTAACAGTATGAACTGAAGGTTTCAGGTTGGTAAGAGAAGTTTTCTTGTGCTTAGAGGAAGCATCTAGTTCTAGTAAGTGTGAAGATCTCTACGCTGTCCCTCATTCTTCTTGTCCAGATGTATTTGTGTTTGGGGTTTTTTTCGGTGGTGGTGTTTTTGTTTTCCTCTTTAAAGCCTGATTTTCTGTAGTAACGATAAGCTCCAAGCTCTTTGGTCTTGTGTTGATCAAAGGTTGTTGCTGATGACAGCAGCACCTGTTACTTTCGTTCTAGACTGTGCAGGTGCACAGAAAACCTTTCCAGCCCTGAATAGGCAGAATCACGAGGGAATTTAATTCTAATGGGCTGTGTGTTTCTATTCCTTACCTTGCTGATAAGGCCGCGCTGTGTTGCTGCTAGTCTAATGGCTGCTTTAAATAGAAATTTGTTGGTGTTTTGACTTGCCTTTTATGCTTCCAAATTACACAGGTAAAATAATTACTCAAGCTAAGCCATGTATCAATCTAATACAAAGTCACTTGCTCATCTTTTTCTTATATAGATCTCTGAAGCACAGAAATCCTTGGAGAAACTTCAAGAGGCTATCAGTGTACATTCTGTAGAGCTTTCAGAGGTAAAGCACTGTTTACACCCTCTAAGCAGTCACACATTCGTGTACCAGGAGAATTCATATCTAGGACGTATTAGAAAATGCTAGCTTGGCAGATTCCAGGTTGTTTTCTTTTGAATTTTACCAGGAAATATGTAGCTCTTGCTCCATTATAGTTTGACTTCATCTTTTTGTTCCTTTTTGGTTTATATGTAGGTGCAGATAGCCCTTAATGAAGCTAAACTAAGTGAAGAAAAGGTGAAATCTGAGCTTCATCATATGCAGGAAGAGAATGCTAGGCTGAAAAAGAGCAAGGAGCAAGTAAGTTATGCCCAGGGCAGGCAACCTTATTTCTCTTCTGAACAAAATTTTGGTACTTTATTCCTAGTTTTCTTCAGTGTGTCTCCATTTTCTTAATGTCAGATTTCTACATTTCATATTATCATGATAAAATTTAAACCCCTTGTGCCTGCCTGCACAGGCCTTTTTGTGCAGGTGAGCCACATGTCTTCAGTATGAAGGCTTTGCCAGTTCCAGTGATTTAGTTTTTGTCATCAAATTCACAGAAAGTCTGTGCTGATGTGGTAGTCACTGCATGATCGGGAGATTGCTACTTGGGATCAGGACTGAAGGAGTCATGGTAAAGAATTGCCAAAAAGCAATTCTGAAGCTAAGCTAAATGGGGAGGACCTTTAGCCCTGAACTGTCATGACAGTTCTTTTAGTAATAATTGTAACTATGTCTGTGTTCTTCCTCCTTATATGAAGTAGATGGCCTTTTAAGGAATGTGGTTTGATTACCTCTGGACTGCAGTTAATTCCTCATAGTTTGAAATGTGTGAATATTTTGGGTCTGATGTTGGAATATTAGCTGAGAAAATGTCAAATTTGTAAAATCACCTAGTAATATAAACTGCAGAAAGATTCCCAGTATCCAGTTTTACCAATGGACTAATGATGTGTGGTAACAGTAGTTTATCCTTTATAGTTTACCCTTTATCTTGGAACCTATGGTGATCAGTTATCACCAGAGTTGGCAGTTAAATAGACTTTAGTTACATATACCCTGTACTAAAAATAAAACAAATAATCATCTTGCCTTGTTGCTTCATCCAGCTGCTAAAAGAAGCTGAAGGTTGGACTGAGAGACATTCCGAGCTCAGTGAGCAGATCAAACTGTATCAGAAATCTCAGAAGGATATTGAAGAAGCACTCGCCTACAAGGAAAATGAAATAGAAGTAGGTTCTTTATAACAAGCTTGCTTATATAAATATTACACGTCACAAAATACTTTGAAATGCTTTACAAAATGCAGAGCGATTCTTCTTCAGTGAACCTTTGATTTCATTACTAGGTTTTAACAAACTGCATTATGCAGCTGAAGCAGCTTGACATAGATGCAGCATCTGAGGGTAAGAAGGACAGCGAAGGGTGTGAATGGAGCACAGGAGATGATCTGGCCAATGGAGAGTTGCCAGGTACAGTGTTCCTACCTTCTGACTGTGATATGCCCAGTGGGGATATGTTCATGTCATATGGGGAACAAGGAGAATCCATGCATGTAGCTGCCTGTGGGTTAAGAGACTGCCAGCTTTAATCCTCAAATACAGAGTATCTCCTGACTGAAGGGAAAAACTGATAAAAAGACCAACAATTGCTTTTAGATTATCTTTTAGCTGTGTTGTAAGTGTAATGACACAGTTTTAAAGATTGCGTATAAAGGTTGGTAATTAAGAACATTTCAAAAGCTGAGAACCTCAGCTTTGTTGTTACGCTACATTTACTTTTAATATGAATTTTTAATGTTTATTGTGCTTGCCTCTGGATAGATAAGTAATTTAAGTAATCACATCTTCTAAATCTGAAAAACTGAAATAGACATTGTCAGAACTACTCGGGCAGTTTGTCATTCCTGATGTTGCATATGTATTTGCTACAGCTCTAGTTTTCAAGTCCTTTTTTCCTTTCTTTTTTTCTTTTTTCCTTTTTTCTTACTGTTCATTACATGTGGTCTGGAAATTCCCACTTTTTGATTTTCTATACTATATCCAGTAACAGATACTGCATTCACATTAATATTAATGTGGTGGCTAGAAGAAGTGACAAGAAGGAATCTTCTGAATGCCTTTTGAAGTAAATCTAATAGTTCTGTTGTGCTGGTCATGGAATTGCTCTTGTGTTTCGTTCCCACCTCCCACTTTTTTTTTACTACATAAGGAGAGCTGTCCCAGATTAAAGTGTAGGG